AGCAGCACGCAGCCCCAGGAACCATCTTCCTCTCAGGCCACAAAATACTTCCATTTCCCTGAAGGTCTTGGAACTGTAGAATCAGAAACTGGTTAGGGTTGGAAAGGAGCTTAAGAAACATCTTATTCCACACCCTGCCATGGGCAGGGACATCTTCCACTCAACTAGGTTACTCCAAACCCCATCCAGCCTGGCCTTGAGCACTTCCAGGAATGCGTTCAAGGGCAGTCTATGCCACCACCCTCACAGAGAAGAATTTCTTCTGAACATCTAATCAAATCTTGTCTCCTTCCAGTTCAAAACCATTTCCCATTGCACTGGCCTCTGACCATCCGGCACCCTGCCCTAGGACACGATGCCACTGGAAATTTGCCCCCTCCAGGTACCAGCCCCAGCCCTGGCAGCAGGACACAGTGCATCCCCTTCTCGGGCCATGGCATCTGAGCGGAGGTGACGTGCCCATGGACAGCCAGGTAAGGGCCATCCCAGCTGGCAAAATGCACCTCAGCTCCTACACACCAGATTCATTTGTTTTCCCACCCCTGGCCCACAGGGAACATGAACTACGCCAGCCCCCAGCATTCACGTGAGCACAGGAGCTTGGGGAGATGTAACTGAGAGCAAAGAAACCCCTCTGCCTCAGATACAGTGATTTCCAGGATGTCAGCAGGAGACACTGCTGCTTCCTCACTGCAGAGGAGATGAGCATCCCCACACCGAGGGACACCAGCAGGACAGCAGCGTGAGAGGCTCCGTGCCACACGAGAGGCTCCCTGCCACACGAGAGGCTCCGTGCCACACGAGAGGCTCCGTGCCACACGAGAGGCTCCCTGCCACACGAGAGACTCCCTGCCACGCGGGGTTTTCACGTCCCATGCCTGGGAAGTGCGAGCAGAGAGGCTGAGCCCACGTGCAGTGCGAGCAACGGGCTCCAGAGCTCCCTGCAGCTGCTTCTCCTTTTGCTGAGCAGCAGGGAACTTGGAACAAAATGCATATCAGATGGATGGTGTGTTTAACACCGACAGCAGGAAACCTCCCAAGAGCCTGGGATAAGTTCCAGAGCTTCTGGCATGCTTCTCCCTCCCATTTAACTGGTATTTCCCCGCTGGAACCCTTTTTTAAAAGACACAGCTTATCTCGTGGAACCATGAAGGATTGTAAGAGCAAAAGGCTTTTGAATCCTGCCTGCAAAAATAAAATAAAAATGCTGTCCTACTCTGACTGACCTTTAAATGAGCAGCAGAACATGGGATTTTTATGGCATAACCTGAAATGACACATTTGAGTGTCTCAGGGAGCGTGGGCACCACTCCACATGTTCAGTGTAAAATACTGCTTGCTGGTGGAGAGGTACAAAATGAAGAGAAGCTGGATGCATCTAAGTGCCAGGCAATGCCCAGAGAACTTCATTTCCCAAAAGAAAAAAATCCCAGCTGACTTAAATGCCTTTTTACTTCTGCTTCAGGTTGAGTGATGAGCATAAAGGCAAAGACGGCCCTTTGATTATCAGCTTTAGAAGGTGCTGGGGCCACCTTTGTGGGAGCTGGACCCAGACATTCCAGCCTTGTTCATCACGAAGACCTCACTCTGTTACAAAGGGGATTAAACTGCTGGTGAATCATTCTTCACCAAGGAGTCTCCTATTCTGTTTCCAAGTGACTGGGCTTGATTCATGAGGCTCTTTAAATCCAACCACATTCTGCAGGAAGCAGTGCTTTGCTTGGACAAAGCAGCATCTCCATGTGCTGGGTGGGCACAAGGAATCTCAGGCACATGTTCTGATTTGTGTGCAGGGCCAGGAGCTGGACTTAACGATCCTTGGGGACCTCTTCCAACTCGAGATATTCTGTAATTCTATTATCAGTCCTGGTTGTCACAGTCAGATGTGTCCCTGGACAGCAGAGGGTTTGCATATGGACTCTCTTTTCAAGAAATGTTTAAGTTTGAGGTCACAATTAAAGACCTTCCTCTGCTATGGATAATTTTTAGGTGGTTCTACCTGTGAATAAACACAATTCTTTAATGGGATGAAAGCTCTGGATGTATCTGTCCCTCAGCATCTCTGACTCTGAGGGTCTCAAGCACCAGTGACACAGTTATCCCTGTTCAACTCCACATAGAAACAGAACTGCAGCTTCCTTAGAAACAAATGTCACTGCCACTGAGAATGCAGCATTATGTTTCAAACATAACCTCACTGAAAACTGTCCCAAATGCAACAACAACACGGCAGACAACAGGAGGATAAAGCCCATGAACTCAGCAGGTACACAAAGAATTCTTGTTTTGAGACCATGGAAACCCAGCCCAAGAGATGAGGCAGTCACAGGAAGTTCTTACAATATAAGGAAAGCAGGATGGGCAAAGAGAAACTGTTCACAAAGACATAGAGCAGGGTCAAACTTTTACGTGTTTGCTCGTGGTCTGCCCTCTTTTCTGTGGCTCAAATTTTCCTGAATAAAAACCACAGCATTTGGTCTGCTGTGGATAAGTCTGTGAGAGCAAAAAATCCCTGACTCTGGGCCTGCTAGCACACAAATCGACGAGCCTGGCTGCTCATGGACAAGTGTGATTTATACATAATTCACAGCTACCAGTACACCTGGGCATCTGCACTTCAAAGCTCAGTGTGTTGCTGCTTTATTAGTCCCAGGGGTGACTCTTCCCCAAAGAAGCAGCTCCCTACAGATGGATACCAGGGAGGAGCAGGGCTCTCTGGCACTGGGATTGGGCAGGTTGGGTGAGCACTTAAGCTGCCAGCAGTGCCCATATCCCAGGTAAACCTGATTCAGTGCTGAAAAGTCATCCCAGAAAAAAAAAGTGAAGAGTTTTCTCCCAGTTAGAATCACAGAATGGTTTAGGTTGAAAAGAAGCTTAAAGCTCATCTTGCTCCACTCCGTGCCATTACCAGGGCCACCTTCCACTAGACCAGGCTGCTCAGAGCCCTGTCCAACCTGATGGGGTATCCAGGGTGAGGAGAAGGGAAGGGCAGGTAGCTACTGACTGATTGGGTGAGGGAGTCACTCCAGAAGATGTGTTTTGGTTTTAAACAATGTGGGTGGGGATTACAGGATTAGAACTGCTTTAACTGTCAGGGAAAAATGACAGAAATAGGACAGGGTCAGGTGTGGGGTCAGTCGAGAGTGAGAATGGCTTCAAATTACCCCGTGTGCCCCTTCCAAGCAGAGGCATATGAAGCAGACAGGAGATGCCCTGGGATCCAAGTGTTCACCTGTGCTGCCAGGTACACAGCTCTGTCAGTAACTTCAATACCACCAGAACACCAGTACCACCAGTACCACCAGCATCCACCTCCCCATATGTCCTCCCACCATGCTCCAAGAAGCCCCCAGCCCTGGACCACCAGGTCCCCCCACTGGCCCATCAGGCTGCTGTGTGAGGGAGGATGGGCACAAAGGGCTGAGCACAGCTTCTCAGGTGCTTCTCTTCTCCAGACACAAACTTCAACCATGGGTTCACATAACCCCTCCAAAAATCACATCCATGCCACAAAGCAGCATTCCAACACTCGGAGAGGAAATTTCAAATTCACAGCTGGGAATAACAAATGAACATCTCAGAGCCACAATGATATTTTCCACCAAGACTTTCAGTTCTACATTACTTTACACTTGTTCTATCTACCTAGATGATTTTTGCAACCAGGGCAAAACAAATTTTTATTTCTAATAAGTGGAGTGGAGATGCCCACCTGCTGCTGGTGTGCACCACAGCCTGAAAGTCCTCCTCCCCCACCAAGAAATGTGAGACAGAACTTCACCAAGTAGCTCATCCCCATGTAACCCCCACCTCAGGCATCCCATGAAGAGCCCAAAGCACTACCATTATCATGGGGACCCAGATGATTGCACAAGCGTGTGACACATACAGCAAGGATCTTGCTCCCCTACCTGAATGGCTTCTGTGATGATGCGTGGAGGCCAGCGTCAGTCGTCCCCACAGCGTGGTAAGGCAGAGACTGAGCACGAAAACCCATTTGCTCAGGCTCTGTATATCTCTCTCACTCATTCTACCGAAAACAAGAAGAGATATGTGCAGGAACAGGGACTGAGGAGGGCTGGGAGGTGCAGATCTACTCACCAATGTTCCTGCACGCAGTGGTATGACTCCTGAACGTTGTGAGGACTGGGGTGTCTGGCTGTGGGGACATGGCCCTGGGAGATGAAGGGATTCACCCACCACCCTCAGATGACCTCAGACTTCATCAGCAGCATAGGCCATCTCAGCAGGACAGAAAGAGATCCCACCAGCAGGAGTAGAGGTGAGTGATGGTTACCTTTTACTGGTGATTCACGGTCACATCTGTGCATCTGCCAACCTCAGGTGGGTCAGGTCTTTGCAAGGAGCAGACATTAGCACATCTGAAAGGAGAAAGAAGAACATGGACAGTCATATCTGCCATCAGTGTGAGCCACTGTGTCTCTGGGAGTGGTTGGGGACACCTGGGAGTTTCACCAGCCCCACTTCAGGACACAAACTCAGGTCCATGAGCCTGTGTCCATTGCATCACTGAAACTTCTCCAGGAGCTCAGGGCATAACCCTGCTCACCCCTTTGAACAGTAGGACCTGCAGAGCTGCTCCTGATTTTTACTGAGAGCTGAGAGCACAAAGACAGGTCCTTTATAGTAGGTTATTAAAGCAGATGATAAACACTAAATGCATAGCCAGTGTGTGTGGGAAGAGCCAGAGTAGATAAGCAGCAAGTCATTTCAGGTTTTGCCTTTTCCGTGCGTGGTTATGTGCTGTTATTGTCCTTGCGTCACCGAGGTCCCTTGCAGTGATGCCCAAGGACTGGCATTTGTGACCCACCTGCTGACAAACAGGAGGATGGGCTGATCCTGCTGGATGTCCCGAGGCCAGGACCCCACAGGAAGCTGAGGAACAGGGCAGCTGATTGCCCGTGGGATGCACAGAGCCCCTGGCAGAGCCAGGACCTGCAGTCTGCTCTCCCAGCGCATCACCTTCTTCTGGGGCCGCTCCTCCTTCCAGCACTGATGCCAAATTCATGCAACCACACACTAAAAACTGTATCAGCTACCCCTGGACACACCGAGAATCACTCTTGGCACCACACTCGTACCACTCCCACTCCATGCAGCACATGCTGGGAAGAAGCCAAGTTTTACATCATCTAAAGCCCCTAGGGAAAAATGTAAGTCCCAAAGGGTTTTGTGTTTTACTGCTGAGTTCTTTAAATATGCTCTCTTCACTATTTACAGCCACAGCCCTTCAGACGGGAACAGCTCCGGCGCTCCGCAGGCAGCGGCAGCAACAGCGCTGTCACTGCTTGGCGTCAGCCAAGTGACGTGGTGACCTCCCAGCCTCCATTATCACCTGCTGGAGTCCAACCAGGTCCAGCAAACAACTGTGTCCCCCATAAAATGTTAGTGCTGGATCATAACTGACTAACAAGATACCACAAAGACAAGTGGTGGTGACACTGAGCTTGGGCAGTGCTGCCAGGGCCAGCAGCAGCTGCCGGGGTACCCTGCCCTGTGACAAACTTGCACCCACAGTCCTCTCCATGGGCAGTGCAGAATTCCAGCAGTGCACAGGACAAACCCACACCTCTCAGAGAAGAAATCTTCAATTTTCAACCACGTTTGAAATTTCTATCTGCTCTGGACCATGAGACAGTGAAACCACAGACTCCTCTAATGAAGAGCAAGAACACAATATACTGGCATTTTTAATCAAAATGAAGTTATTTGAAGAGGTAAAAAGGACATTTCTTATTTGGAAGCATTTAAAAATGAATTTTCCTGTTTTAAACTGGCATTTCAAAATGAAAAATGCTTCGTTCCAAATTGGTGATTTAAAGTGATATTTTGCACTTTGATTCTCCCATCTGGAAAACAAAAATCAGAAAATGTCATCAAAAGTGTTGACATTTGTGCAGGAAGAAACCAAAGGTATATTGACAAAACCAGCTATTTTATGCTAAAAAGAATTTAGAGGTAAGGAAATACTTCTAATTAATGCTGTGGGCTGGCCAGCTTGGCCAGGAGCAGACTGAAGAGAGGCTGGCAGCATCCCACTTGCTGTCCTGGCTCCATCCCTGCCCACTGGGTAATGAGGGGCTGCTCCTGCCCCAGCCCCTCCATTGCCAGAAAGAATCCAGTATGGCTCAATGTGCAAGAAAACCATTGCTCCTCGAGGTGATGTGACTGGGCTGTAAGAATCTCTCCTGTAAACCCGTATTTAGGTGATCTCTGATGTTCTGGCAGAATATGCTCTGCATGAGTCTTCTCAGAGGGGGATCATACAACAGCTGGTACTGCTGGAGTGCCTTTGGAGACGTGACAGCCCACTGTGTAAATACTGATGTCAGCTCAAAGCATGCACTATTTGCTTAGTGACAAAGCAAACAGCTCTCTCAGAGCCTTCACCTGAATCCAGAGGCAGTGAGTGCCACAGCACTGCATCCAGCAGGGAGTGCCCACACCTGGGGCCACCCTGCCCAGCCACGCTGCGCCACGCAGGAGCCGTGTCCCAGCTGGACAAGCCAGCAGCTGTCTTGCCCCATGATGGGGCACATCTAGCAGCCCAGATGTGAGGACAGCAGACACAATGCTGGTGCAATTTTTGCAACAGTGAGTCCCCAGTGCCAACAAACCTCTCATGTGCCTTCCAGCAGAGCAGCCAGGTCCTCACCAGGAGACCCTGGTTTCTTGGCTGCTGCTCCAGCTCCAGCTCCTGCTTCATGCAGGGAGCACAGCCCAGCTCCCAGGCACCAGGCCTGAGCCCCACAGCACACACCAGAGTCCTTCTGGAGGTGCCCATCCCCAGTTCATGCCCATGGGACCCTCCAGGCCATTTGAGTTTCCAGGAGACATTCCTAAACCTCTCAGCTGGACCAAAAACCAAGCACTCCACTGGCTGCTCCATCCCACAGAGGACAGCAACATGCTCCCAGTGCAAAGTCTATTTAGCTCAGAAAGGCTGAGCTGTTTGCTATAGCCAAGGAAGCATAAATAAATTACTGTGTTATCAATAATGCAATCCACACTGTCCATGTTACACTGGGAAGGGAAGCCACTGAGCTGAGCAGGAATCGTGCTGGTGGCCAGGAGAGCACATGTGGCTCAGGGGAGCAGGAGGACAAGGTGCTCCGTGCTGGCAGAGCTCCCACTCATGCCCAAACTCCCATTAGAAAACACAGCTCTACAGAAATTGCTATTTTGACAGTTATCATCCTCCAGTGTCGTGAGATTACAACTACAAATGTTTGGTCTCACTTGAGATTTTTCAGCCTGGAATGTCAGTGAAATGAATAGTGGTGTTCTGGCACGTCAAAACACTTAATTTTCATTGAAAATCTTGGTATTCTCCATTCTGTTGTGTGCTGTTTGGAATTTTGTGGATTTTTTCACTAACATTTTTTAGCTGCTTTTGCCTTTTGGGTCTGAGCTGAGACCTGAAAGAACTGTCAAATTCCCCAATATCTCAGACTATCAGTCTCAGTTGCAACCAGTGTGTCAAGAGACGATGGTTCCTCTGTGAGGGTCCACATCCCTCAGTGTAGGCACTTGTGGGCATGGACCATCATCCACATGGAGCTTCATCGAGGTTCTCCAGCACAGACACACTACAGGAACAGCTCCCGGACAACGACCACTCTGCCTGTCACAGGACCACTCTGCCAGTCAATTTTCACGGACGTTTTTCTCCTCCTCCATTAAAGCCACATGTGGAATTGTGCCCCTCCAGCCAGGGTCAGCAGTTTGCTGGAGCACAGCCCAGTGTCCCACAGTGCTAACGGGGCTAATGGACAGGCTGCCAAGCCTCTCCCTGCTCAAAAGGGATGGCTGATGAGCAGGAGGAGGAGACTCCTGCTTCCCTGCCTTGGCACCCACAGCATGGACAAACTCATGACTCCAATGGGACTGGCACAGCTCACGCTCTCCTCTGAACCACTGAGCCCATACTCGTGGTGATGGGGCCATCTGACCATGCCCATCCTGTGCCCCTTGAGCCTCCCCGTGAGGGAGCTGGCTCTCAGTGCCACTGCCCTGCTCCAGCCTGGTGCTGCCCAGAGGCAAACCCATCCTGGCTGGAGGAGCTTCAGCAGAGAGAGAGGAACCAAAGAAAGATTAAAGTCCCCCGTCCCATCCTGTCCTGCTCACGGCTTTGGCCACAGGGACAGCTTGTGCTGAAGGCAGCTGCAGTTGGGATCTATGGCCCCTTCCAGAGTAAAGGAGCATCCTTGGCTGCAGAATCTGGGATCTCTCCAGCAGTGCTTTGCCTCCCAGAAAGGCGAATAGCTTCGCAGTGCTGGCAAAACAGCATCCGTGATGAGTCTACTCCCGGAGCTGGTGGCCGGCCAGGGCCCCACCGGCTCCGAGTATCCCCACAGCCCGCAGGGACCGCGGCCGCCGCTGCTGTCGGAGTCACCGGTAACGGGGAGCAGGGCAGAGCCGGCCCCGTTACAGTCACTGCAGGGGCCCTCCCGAGCCCCTCACCGGCACCGGGGAGCCCCGGCGGGCGGCAGGGGACCGGGACACGCGGGGACCGGGAAGCGACACACGGCGGTCGGGCAGAGCCGGGAGCGCCGGACCCGCGGCGGAGCCCTGGACCGGCATCCCGGGGCCGCCTGCGCCCGCTGGCACGCCGATCCCGGCGGCTCCCCGGCCCTCGTCGGGACTCAGCGTCCCCTCGGAGCGGCGCCGGGCCGGCGCTCGGCACCGCGGCGGGAGCCGCCCCGGGGCTGCCGCCTCCATCCCCCCGCCAAACTTTCCGCACGTACCTGCCGGTGGCCTCGGTGCGGGCGGGGCCCGACGCTGCCCATGGCCGGGGGCCGCTCCGCTCCGCCGGGTCAGCGCCGCCTCCGCGGGCCGCAGCCGCCGGGGGCCGCGGGCATCGCCGGGCGGCGGCGGCGGCGGCGCGGGGCCGGGCGGGGGCGGCGGGCGCGGAGCCGAGCGGAGCCCGGCGGACCCGCTGCCGGCGCGAAGGGGCGCAGCGCCGCCTGCTGCCGCCGTCCCGGGACCGGCCC